ACATATCCTGCTGCTAACTCCGCTGAACTGCCCGATTCACTGTCTGAGTCTGGAACATATTCCTCATCTGAGAGTGACACTTCCTCATCAGAACTTGAAAATCCTATATCCTAGTATCAGAAAAGAGAAGATCACTGTATTGTATTTGCGAAGAGAGATAGTTCATAAGTAAAACTGTAAATATACTCACCCGTGAGAGTGGTTCTTCGTTATTCTTTTCAAATTTTGCAAAGCAGGACTTGTGCCAAAATTTAAAGCACACTATAAGAGAGAAATAAATTGTATTCATATTTCAAATACATTTAAAACAGGGACACAAATTTTGGCTAACTCCTTTGATCCACAACCAACCCCTATTAGTCCACAATTAGATCAACCCTTAACTGATAGGCATAACAATAAAGGACACACACAGAAAATACCAAAGAATGTCCTATTCAAAAAAGTGCCAGTTTAACATTGGGTCTATGGATGATAGCTACATATGTAACAATATAAAACAGTTTAGTCCTAAGTGATTATTCCAGGGCTTATATATACACTTCCTCACAATTAGGATCCATGAAACACAATAATGGGCAAGGGATGCGAGTTCAAAGATTTAAACCCTGCTGCATTACAATGAATTTCATAGGCTAGTACCATGTAATATCGAGATAGAAAAATCAAGTTTTTTGATGAATAGCTAATGCCAGGCCTTAATTTGACAATTCATGACATGACAAATCATGTTTGTAAATAGTGAGTCATCTTTGGGAAGCATGCTGTAAAGCAACAAATGTTTGAATGGGAAGTTTTTACTAAACCACTCCAGACAAGGTGCACTGCAAAGAAGATAACTGGCAGTAGTTATATAAAAAGCCTGTAGAGAGACTTCAGATATGGGGTTTTTCATTATTTGTGATAGAAAAGGTATATTGGTTTACGATGTTAAATTAGTCAAGTATATAAACAACACATTGTTTATGCTTATATTTGAGGGCTCATTAACACATATAAATGTTAATCTGCACTGCACATTTTGCAATGCAATGCATAACTATCAGATAAAGCAGCATTCCTTTTTTCATTGTTGGAGGTGTTTGTGTGTATTCTTATGGTGCATTCTTGTGACATATTCTTACTATTGTGCCTTCATATACACAAGTAAAAACATTCCTGGCTTGAATGATAAAACCTCTTCATATCACTTTGTGTTTATGGGAAATGAATCACCTAACTGAGATCAGTGATCAGACAATTTGCAGTTTGGCAATCATTAATTGGTTTAGTGTTAACATTCCCAATTCAAAATAAAAAAAACACAGAGCAAATACTACCTTTACTGAACCTCACCGAAAGCCCTTGTTCACACCTTCCAGTTTTTCTCCGCCAATCCAAAATCGCTTCAATGACAACTAATCTGACAGTCACAATTTGACAAATACCGCATAAGAAAAACTTAAAAAAAACATGCATAATATTATTTACAATCTTACATACTTGCAAGGACTGTTACTGACCTTTACATTTCAGAACGATCCACTTCAGTGGCGCCACAGGTCCAAAACATGCAAAACATTTGTCCATGCTTGAAAAATTTGCATAGATGACCTCATGCTTACAGGGCTACTTAACAAAACAAAACAAAAAGGAATTTAGATCCTGAGGGGCAATTCTTAATGGCTTTTTAAAAAGAACACTAAAAATCACAATATCTCACTAGAATTCTGTAGATGGCACAAGTACATGTCAAGTATAATAAAAACCTTGCATTACCTTCTCAACATTCTCATTTGGAAATGATGATCTGTGACCCCCTGTCTTGCAAAAATCAAGTTTGGTGGCTACCTTCAAAACATATTATATGAAGAAGTTCAGATAAACACAAAAAATAATATCTAGACCAGCAGTCAATAAAAACTGCTAGAATCATTGTCATACATCATAATTTGAGCAGGATAATCAGCTGAAGTTCACGTGATTGGTCTTGCAAACCTATTTCTGTTATTAAATTTGTGCCACTCATCAAAAGATATTTTTACCACAGAAAACTAACAAATATTATATATACTCAAAGCAGCAACTAGTGGAATTAATAATTAAAGTCACTCATCAATAATCCAGCATTCTCCATGACCATCCAGTGCAACCTTATGACATTATTGTTGTGAACTTATTTAAAACCACTGTACAAGACCATTTATGACATGCTGAAACATTTGCACGGTCCACTTAAAACCTAGTGTACATGCAAACCAATGCTTTGTATAAGTGGTCTATGGTCCAGTGTAGGGCTGCACGATATTTGGGGAAAAAATCACATTACAATATTTATTCTTTCTGCGATATATATTGCGATATTGGGATTTAAAAAAATCTAATTAGTTTAATAGCTGTTGTAGGATCACACATGCACATATCACAGGGCCTAAATTCCAGGTGGCCTGAGACAAGGCCGAGCCTGGTACGAGAGGCACCAAAGGGGGGTTACACACATAAACACACACACACAGATATCAAGGGAGGCTAGCACTCCAACTTTTATTGCCTAAAGATTTAGGAACCTACAGACAAGCAGAGTGGACTTCACGGACAGGGGTCCCTCGACTTGGCACACAACCACCTCCCCATACATTCTGCCTTACATTTCCCTCACCCAACAGACAAACACCCTAAAGGAAATTTCATT